GGTGAATACAAACGCATGCAACAGTTATTTATAAAAAATAAAAAAAAAAGAAAATTGGAAGAGTTTTGTTTTCTTTCCAGTTCTAACATGTGCTTAGTGCTGAACTACTTCAAGCACTCCCAGTAAAACACAAAGATGTCTGTGGTTGCACTGTGACAAAATGTTATGGATATACCTATTTAGTAATAGCATATTGCTTTTCTATTGTGCAGCATTTATGTTTTTGTGGCCAGTAAACGGTTAATAGCAGACAGCCTGTTTCCTATTTGGCACCACTCCTGCAACCATTTATCCGCTGGCCGAATGATATTGAACCATCCATTTAGTTTGGAAAGATAGCGGAGAGAGGGCATGCAATGTGTGGTGCTTGTCTGACCGTGTGTCTGCACACACTCGTGGTGTCTGCACGCACATGGAGGCAGCAGGTGGAACGACATGGACAGGGACAGGATAGGGGCTCAATCTGTGAGCCTAAATCAGGAGCGTGGAATTGACATGGCGGCAGTCCAGAAAAGACATTATAGGTCACTGACTGCATGGGTGATCACGTATAAGGTCGCCCTGATTGGCTGTCTGGCCGCTTGTTGAGCTTCTGGCCTGCTGACTTTGTCATGTAAAGTAACAAAAGCATTTATTTTTATGTATTAATAATTTGCTTTTTTATGTATTTCCCTGTCTTAACATATTAAGATTACATTTATATTATCAGATAATCTTTTCATAAGAATGGTTAAAATCATTTGTATTTTTTTTTTTTTTATAAATTTAGAAAACTAATTTGATGTAAGACTTTTGCGTTCTTTTGGTTAAAAGTACAATAAATGCTGTAGCTAATTTACATGATCAAAACATCTTTTGTCTTAAAGTTCTTAACATTATATTGGAATTGTGGTGCTAATAGTGGCACCATCCAGGAGTAGCTAGGCTACATTAGCTCTGATTTGATCTTTCATGTTTTATAGTTAACTCGTTGCATGTTTGGATAATTGTTCCCTCTGGTTTGGAATCCTGAGCAGCTGAAAGTTTTTTTTCTTCTCTTTCTTTGTTTCAGACAGTTGTTATAATTCATAACCATAGCAACAAAGTAATCTTTTAGTTTAGATAGATCAAGAGAGGGGAAAAAGCTGATGAGCAATAGATGCCCCAAGTCGGCCAGTTGAACATCGATGACCCCTGATGTCAAAATTCTGACTCGGAAAGTTGGAGGCTTGTCTTCAGCTCTGATCTGAAAAACAAATATGGCTGCCACTGTAATTAAAGTAAGTGTTAGCAGAAAACCATTTCCTTCTGATGGTTTAAATCTCATTGGATCAGGTACTGTGGAGCTCATGTCAGAACATTTGCTAAGGTGATTGAACGTTCTAGATGTGGAGAAACACTTTCGGTTTGTTTGGCTGACTACTGTCAATTAGCAAATCATAACTGTTCTGCGAATTAAAACTGGAACACAGTTAAACTTTGAGATTCAACTTTTAAGGTAAATGGAACACCCCATTTCTCAAAACAAGACATCAAGACATTTGAATTCCTCAAAATTCAAATGTCTTGATGTTGGAGGTACTCCTAAATAAGTCAGTGCATTTAGGCCTAAAGAGCTGGTACTTCAGTGAATGCCGGCATTATGATGCCAGGTCTTCACGTACCTATAGAAGTGTTACAGTTGCACTATTTAATGTTGAAGTATCTGCAACAAGTAAAGATTGTACTTGCTGCCCCAAAAAAGTGGGGGCACAAGAGTGGTGGCTGTGTCCCAGAAGTCTTTTCCCAATGGGATGTTACCAAATCAGCTCAGTGACTCTCAGCTCCTTTTTTTACCTCAACGTACCATTTCAAGGAACATTGATCCCATTCCACCCTAGTTGGTATTTCAACTAGATACCAAGATACCCAAAACCTCTGATGAAGGGGAAAGACTGAACCCCAACCTGAGTTTTGTTCAGGTTGAGAATCTTTGGCTCATCCTCCACCCTTTGTAAACCAGCTGTTCTGAGATGCCATCAAGAGGAATACGTCGTCCTGAGAAAGTGCAGGAAATGTTAAGTGTACCATTACATAACCGATCGATCTGATACTCAACATAATACAATCAGAAAAGTACCTCATATTTGTCAGTGGGTGGGATGTTGCCTATAAATAAGCATAAATGAGAGAGCGAGAACCAAAGGGAGTCATAACAAGAACTTGAAATAACTCATCGCTTTCAGAGTCACAAATAACTCTTTTGGTTCTTAGATAACAGTAATCCAGTTAAACACAGTTCCCAAACTGAAACAGCATCTCTTGAGTGGGAAATATGCCCTCCTCACTTAAATCACAACCCACACACTCATCTCTTGAAGCCTTTAAGCCGTCACTAAGTCAGCTCAAGTGTTTAGCTCGACTTTCAAATGCAGATTTGGGAGGGTAGACTATGGAGATGGGCGTGAAAGAATTGGCTTTTACGCAGATATGTTTTAATCAATCCCCGAGTCATTTGTCGCCATGCTGGACTTGAGGGTTTAGGCTGTAGCAATAATCCAATCCATGGGAAAACTTGTGTCCTCTGTCTGTACCCTCCTTCCTCCACCCACCATAGCTTTTGGATCAATGCCAACTTGCAGGCTGACTATAAAGGCTTTAATGTTCCAGTTAACTGCTGTTTGTTTTGGGGTGTGTATATGAGAGTGTGAGGAGATTGGATGTTAAAGCAAATATTAGTTTGACAGAATATGCTTTGCCTGCCCTCTCAATGACGCACACAAACACGCTGAATGACATTAGCCATTGCTACACCCCGCCCCCTTGCATCTGGCGGTCTTGTTCCCTCCTAGAGTGGACAGAAGCGGTCTGGCATTTAGCCTGTCCTTTGATGGCCCGATCCAAACCACCACATTAAACAGCCATGAAAGCAAACAGGGGCCAGATGAGCAGAGGACAGATACTTTCTGGAAGCATTAACGACCCAATATCCCTGGCTGTTCATTTGCAACTACATCAGTTTAGACAGTAAAGGGAAGTTGTGTGCCATGTAGTGTTTTTGTCTTTTTACTGTCCCGTTCCGATCCTTTCTGCATCTTTCCGTAGTTGTCCATCCATTTGCTCCTCCTGGGCAGATTAATGAACTGATGTGGAGTCCGTACCGAAGATTGCGCCTGTAGGAAGGAAGCCACATTGCATTTCTTCAGAGTGTCTCGTATATTCTGGTGGCTTCCCGCTCAGTCCCAAAGGGGTTTTCTTGCTAAGATTAGTTTGGTCTTATTAGAGTGAACTTGGATCAGCGAGCCGCGAAGCTTCTTCTAATACTTGGACCGTCACGCTCGCTTTAGTTGGCTCCTCCGTCATTTCTTCAGTGCCCTCGCTCCTCTTGTCTCTCCTCATCACTTTGCCATCCAGCACTGCCTCCCCCACATTTTCTCTGCCCTACTGATGGTTTGATTTGCTGCAGTAGGAGAAAGTTGCATGGATAATTCGCTCATCTGCAACGGGCGGTGTCTCATTGAAGATGAGCGGTTTTGCATCTGTTTGAAACTGCCTAAGCCCCTTCAGCATTGTCTTCCTCCCTTCTCTGGGATTCTTTCTTCTGAGTGTTTTCAGTTATCTCCAGCCGTCCATACTTCTCTGCTGGGGTGCCATTTCTGCCCTCATTCCTCAACCCGCCTGTTGTGACACCACACAATCTGTCAATGCTGTCGCTGTTACTTTGGGGAGAAGAGATGGAAGTGTCGTCTTTGCCTTTTTTCTCTGTGATTGGACTACTACAAACATAGGGAAGGACATAGTGTGGCATAGTGATTTGGAACCTATTGTTGGGTTTTTTCCAATGATAAAGGCTGGTAAATCTATTTTGCCAGTCATTGGCACACAAGAAACCAATTATTGAACATAATATTTACTATTCTTGTTGAGAAAACATTTGTACAATAGCTTTACAACAACTCACCTACTAATTAGCTAGTGTGTTTGGTCACATATTACCAAGGTAATTTTGAAAAGTAATTCAAAATTAGGCCTGACACAATAACAAATTTTCCTGAGCAATAAATAGTCCTAGAAGTTATTGCGATAAACAATAATATTGTTGTTTTGATACCATTTTCAAGTAATATAATGGAAATGACATAATAACTCAAAAACACATTCTGAAAGAGCAATAAACTTTAAATTCTAAAGAACATTTAACACTGGAACTGGAAGACATTTTAAATATAAACAACAACAACAAAAAGCAAAATAGAAACAACAAATAAAGCTAATTACAAAGTCTCTGTAAACAAAATTGTCCTTCAAAAAAATTGGCTAGTTGAGACCAGCCCGACTTTTGTCATCCAGTTTTTGGTAGAAATAGACAAAAGAGAAAGGGAGAAAAATAATAAATTATGCAAATGGGAAGAAGCAATCAGGAAGTAGCAGCACAACATAAAAAAAAGTCTCTTGAAGCATATCTCTCTTCATATTTTCTGTCTTCTCCTGATGAAGGCCGAAGCAGCCGACCCTGATTTGTCTGCGTAAGACCTGTGAGAGCAGCCTCAGTCAGCTCAGATTGCCCATTGACTTTTTTTACAGGAGCGGTCAAGTGTTAGGTTATATCTAATGAATCGCTCAGCTTCACAGCGTTTATAGTTAGCAGCTGAGCTGGGGCTCAGGGCTCTTTCACAGTCACTGTATTAACCTCTGACCCCATGTTCACAGTGCCGACATGCACTGATTGCACGGATAGCAGCACAAAGAGAAAGTCTATTTTTTTTTGCCAGCACTGAAACACGGCAAGCAGATCTACATGAAATATCTTTAAAAATTCTACTTAACTTTACACTTATCGCCACGAACAAACTGGAAGTCGTTATAAACCTTTTAAAGAGACAGCAGTGTAGGCGGTGGTGCTACCCGACACACGACTACAAAGATTTCTGCAAATATGTGCTCAGTAATATATCTAGAAATCCAGAACTGTTTGAAAAAATATAAGATGCTTGTACCAAATATGTGAAAAATGTATATTTTTTTTCCTGTTTCGTTACCAGTTCTTCCCTTACGGCGACGCGTCCAAGTTCGCCCAGCACGCTTTCAGGACCTTCGACAAAAACGGCGACGGCACCATCGACTTCAGAGAGTTCATCTGCGCACTGTCCATCACATCGCGAGGCAGCTTCGAGCAGAAACTCAACTGGGCCTTCAACATGTACGACCTGGACGGAGATGGCAAAATCACACGGGTGGAGATGCTGGAGATCATCGAGGTATCCCTGCACGAAAGAACCCAAAAACTCTGTCGCATCTTAAACTGAGTTCACACACCGCCTGTTCTGGACAGGATATCGGTGCGCTACAGGATCTGGGGATGTTTTACTTGCAAAGATAAATAACTTACTGGTTCTGCTAAAAAAGTGGAACCTTAAATGGTTGAATCTGAAAGAAAACAAAGTAACAAATTATAACTACAAATCCAATCAACACAAAACAAGTCAATCTGGAAAACATGGCAATGTTTTGAGGCATTACCATGCCTGAAAA